GTATTTGCATTCCTTTATGAAATAAAGTATTTTTTCTAAATATTTTTCTATATTTAAAGTACATGTAGATTAGTAACTATACAGCTACTGAAAAATCACATCAGGAGATAAATGACATTTCAATTTTTTTTAAGTGCCCCACGCTGAACCCGCTCTTATCGACGAGTCACCAGGACCACTAACTACAGCAATCTATATATTTAGCATTGTTAATGTGTGTCCTGTCGATATTACAGCAGTGAAAATATCAATATCATGCGTATTATCTGAAGTTAATATTAATTTGGATATTTCCTTGCTAAAGTAAAAAGCTAAATTCAGTAATTTGTTACTCACCCTATAATAAATAATAATTTACGTCGTATACCGGAAAATAAATATTGTTTGATATTAATAAAATACTATTCTTAAAAAATATGGGTAATCAAAGTGCTTCGTTGGGAAGGTGAAACGTCAAATTTTCGACTTCAATAACATGTATATCCAAAACTAGTCATGGGCCTACGGACATTTTTGTTCAGAAAGTACTACAATACATTAAATTTAGACAGTACCACTTTTCGTAGGAAAAGTGCGGGTTCCTTTAAACATAAAGTAGTAGTAATAACTCCATCTCCCCGAGATATATCTTCCATAATCTATATAAAGTTATAGAAGAGCCAGAAGTGGCAGGTACGTCTCATATCTACACCGATGGTTTTAAAATAAAAGGCCCAGGATGTGGAATATATTCCAGGATACCTATTCTTGAATTTCAGGGAGTAGAAATTTTTGAGGGAAGAATGAGACAAAAATTCAAATTTTGTGCGTTGCAGATAAAAAGGAAAAACCGGTTTTCTACTCCCTCGAATTCAAGAATAGCTACCCAGATCCTCAAACCTAAAAATAGTTTTGAGTAATAGTGCCAGTGTACCAAATTCTTTTAGAGCCTGACTCTTCCATTGGACTGACAATATCGATAGTGACAAACCTAATTAAAGAACATTTTATCGTTATAAAATTTTCTAGAGTAAAAATGGCCACTCTGTTCTGCTCTGTTAAACCGCAAAAAGTATTTTAATAAAGTACCTCTTAGTTTCCCTATTGGAAATAGCTTTCGGTCGAATCTGCTGAATTTTTTATACGTTGCAATTTTTGACTTCTTATTAAATGTGTCCATGGGCACAAAGTTCTCCTATGACTAGTTTTTGAGACAAAGGGAAAATTCTTATAATTTTCAAAAATACATTAAGATGTAAAAAACGTTGTTACTAGGCTAATATTCATAAATAAGTTATTATTATTAATTTGTGACTACCAAAATACAATACCAACCTTTTTGGAAAACAACTTATAAGGAGAGTAATTTTTTAAATTAAAGTAGAAAACTGCGTATTTAAAAAATCGTTTGACGCCTAAAATAGTAATAATTATTTATGTATTGTTATATAAGTGTGTATAAACGAAATTTTTTTATTATAAACTATACACGTATACAGGGTAAACCAAATAGTTGGTTCAGTGATTATCGCTAGTTTATAATATACCCTGTATAATGTAGTGTATCTCAAACAAGTAAAATATTACATCAAAAAAAAATATGTACTTCGGATATTACATACAGGGAGAGTAAAAAGTTATATAAAGTTGAAATATGCAAAATTACAAAACTTTCTGTAGAGAGATTAATCGGTTAATCGGTTAAGTCAACTAAGAGTTTGATATATTAAAACCAAGTGTTAACAAGTTTATTTTCACAAGTTAATTCATCTTGACTATCTTTTTCTGTATGGAATCAATTTGATTACTGTTTTTACTGATTTTTTTTTATAATTTAACTTAAATATTAATTTCCAGCAACAGTTAATACGTTTTTTTTTTTAATAAGAATAATTTTTTGACCGTTGCTGAATTTTATATAAATAAAAATTTCCTTGGTTTATTGGGTCGTTTATATTTTCTATTAATTAGCACAGCACTACATGTTTCGGAAAACTTTTCCATCTTCGGGTGCAGTCAAAATTTAATAAAACAGGGGGACGATTACAAACAAAAAAAATAGAAAGATGGGGTTTCTGTTATTTTAAAAAAAATTTTAAATTTTTTGTAATCATCCCCCTGTTTTATTAAATTTTGACTGCTCCTGAATATGGAAAAGTTTTCCGAAACATTTATATAAAGTTTATGTGTGTTAGGTCATTGTTTCAAGAATAATTTTAGCAAGAACCTTAGATAGGTTAAAAATTGTTACCAATACTAAGTAAACTTACAAAAAAAACTGAAGGCAGTAATAAAATTGAGCCCTTAAAAAATTCTAGTCATATGAACATGGATTAACCTGTGAAATAAACGTGTTAACACTGTTGTTTTAATATATCAAAATCAGTAGCGAAACATTGATACAAGATATTTTTTGAGGCCCCTGCAGTTAAAAAAATGTAAATAAATAATGTATATTATGTCTATTTTATTATATATTTTTAGTAAACAATAAAAAAAAATAATGTTTTGCTTAAAAAGTTAAAATAAATAAATAGGAGCCTTCGCAAGTCTGGCAGAAATAAAAAACAAATTATTAATATTTGAAGGAACAAAATTTAGTCAAAATAAAATATATTTATATGGTTAAAGTTTATAGAACAGTAAGTTAAAAACTAAAATAAAACTCTTAATACAATACAAAAACTAATAAATAAACAAAATAATAAAATTTTCCTAGCGGTAGAGAAACGTAAATATTATTATTTTTTTGTTTTTTAATATTAAAACTTAAAACGAAGTCGACAAATATAAAAAGCTTTGAGTTTTGATTAAGAACGTTTTCTAATTTGTGCTATATTTTTTAGTTTAAACATTTGAAAACATAATTTGTAAAATTGAGGCGTTGATTTCAAAGTCCAAAAATTTAGTTTTGAGAAAATAGGAATAAACAGTTTACCTTGATGAATGTTCAACTTACTAGTCTTATAATTATTTAGATACATTTTTAGGGGCCTAAGGGTTTTTACTACTGGTTGTTATCTGGTCTACCCATTTTTTTTTCTGTACAAAAAAAAGAAACAATTGGACCTATGTTGTTTTTACCAGAATTAAAGGGACATGTGTTATTTTTATGAGAAATAAAAAGAAAATGCTATATTCATTTGTATCATGTTGACCTGCCAACAACAACGAATCAACTGAATTAGTGGAGAACGCAATACGTGATACAGGTTATAACGTTTCAATCCCGCCAATAATAGCATATGTATTGGACAAATGCTGTTTTTAATAGAAACGACTGGACATAATATGTTGTTTTTGCCGAATCGACTAGAATTTCGAGCGCTATAAATCGGTACAAGAGTGGTTTTTGCAGAAACTGCTCAGACCATCAAATAGCTTGCAAAATGCTCTACTAGATGTCACTAAGATCTCGAATTTGATAATTCTGGACTTATGCTGTTTTTGAAATCAACGCCTCAATTATTACGAATTTGAATATAATAAAATAATTATATAATAGTTATCAGAGAAGCCTGCTTTGCACCGAACTACCTATAATAGCTACGCCAGTAATCAAAATCATACTTTATTTGATCTATTAATTATCTCTCTACAGGAAGTTTTGTAAAAAATTGCATTTTTTGTATATTTCAATTTTATATAACCTTTTACTCTCCCTGTATGTATATTTTTTTGTTAATGTGATATTTTGCTTGTTTAGAATACATTTCGATATTACTGTAAAATAGTAACACTCACTACATAGGCGGTATTTAGCTGTAACACTTTAATTTGAACACCCGGTATATTTTATTGTAAAAAACAAAACCTAAATATTTCAAAAATATTTGCACGGTAAGGTATAGTTAAAAGTTCACTATTAGATAAATAAGGACTTCGACTATTAAAAAAAAATTAATTTTAGACATAATCTAATATTTTTTATTTAACATTGGTGGCGAAAGGACCCCTTAATTTAAAAAATTACAAAATCTGTATAGTTGTTTTCAAAAAGGTATTGTATTTTGATATCGAGTCAAACCGTACCTTTTAATAAATATATGAATATCAGCAAAATAAGAACGTTTTCGTAATCAAGTATTTTCAACACCCTGTATCTCAAAAACTAGTCATAGGAAAACTTTGTGCCCATGGATACTTTTAATTAGAAGGTGAAAAACTGCAACGTATATAAAATTCAACAGATTCGACCAAACGCAATTTGCCATAACAAAATTGCGAGGTCCTTTTGGAAAATTTGGAAAGCAATATTTTTCTTTACGATTTTTTGTGTATTAGTTTGTAAGAAAGAGAGAGCAAAGTATAAAGAGGTTTTGGATCGAGAGACCGGTTTTTGATTTAAAGTAGTAACGTTAGGCGATCTGTCTCTGGGGAACAAAAGTAGTCGAATTACGGAGTGCGGGGCGCGCGAGGTATCCACAGCATGATGCTAACCGAACAAGGCGCATGCTCCGCTACTCTGTTGGTTTGGTGTTTGGTTGTACGACTTGGGCCAGTTCGGAGTTCTGCCTATGCCACCCGGTAGTCTGAAGTGTGAAGCTGTGGTATGTTGATGTCGCCCTGTCGCCGTGAGAGAAGTGGAGAACTGCTGTAGTTGTACAGATAAAAGAACTGAATTAAATGAAAAATAAAAATGAGCGCGAACGAGGAGAGCGGAGACAGCGATAGTGGTAAAAACAAAATGTTAAAAAGACCATTGGAAAACAAGTTCTCAAATATATTGCCGGTGGATGCTGAAAACTACATGTTACGAGGAATCGGCCGGCCGGCTAATAAAACTGTCGTATCAGCTGAGGGTGCAACTTCCGATGGAGAAATGAACCATCAGGGGGCCACCGCCACAGCCAACACCATACAGAATTTCAAAATTCGCGATAAGGAAGCATTTTGGGGTTGGGGCACAACCACCAGTGAAGACGGTGGCGAATGCTGCGCTAGAATACTCTCGTTCCACAACCTCTTGTGCTCTTGTGAGATGTCTTGTTGTTGTAAATGTGGTACTTTATGTTCTGCAGATTGTCATGCCTGTTTCCACAACTATTGCCTCAGATATTTTCCTCACTACATGTGCCAGAAGGACACCGATTCGCTTCCACCAGTTACCCTAGATTACGACAAGGTAGGTCTTTAATTTTATAACTAATAAAAACTTTCCAAAGGCGCACTCTCTTCAAATTTACTAATCATTAAAATTTATATTAAATCAGAATCAAACATCCCTTACTGTATCCTTTGTCTTTACGTATTCAAATAGTTTCATCTTTATTATTATGCCTGTAAAACAAAGTTTAAATAGCACCGGCAAACAAACGCTTTACTTACTAATTCATTTGAAACATTGTCTTTCAATATATCATTTACTTAATCAGACAAAAAAATGTAAGGGTAATTTTGAGCTTTGTCCGCCATATTGGTTGGTTTTTAAAAAACTTATTCCTATACCTGCTTATATACTGTATGAAAATCATTTTCCCTATAAATATTTATCATTTTAAAAGAAATCGTAGTAGCTATGAGCATGAAACCGTTCAGAAATAATGCCACCCTTCAGTTAACAGAAATCTTTTGTTTGATGCGAGGGTGGATGAAAATCGAAAGTTACATTCCTACCTTAGGTCGTTTACCAACAGCTGATACGAAATTATATAATTTGTTTTCGGAATTTTTGCTGGGTTTAATACTCTATTCTGTTTATTTTGTAATGCTATTTTCGGTAGACGTACTGGTACTAAAACTGAGTTTTTTAAATCAGAATAAAAATACTTTTCGTAAAGTATCCTTTGTTTCTCTAAGGGTGGTGCCGGGTGGTCTGCTTCCATTTACTTTTTTTATTGTTATTGGAATAATGGAAATTTAAATTTTCGATAAGGATTGTTGAGTGTATACACCTATCAATTTTTATCTTACCTAAGCACCTTTTATGCATGCTGATATATTATTTGATTTAATAAATAATACACCATAATGCACGTTTTTTTTTATCTAAAAAGGTACACTTCTTTATAAATTGTGGTTATTATATTGTGTAAAGACAATAGTGTCCAACTACTAAGCAGGTAATATAAAAAAATGTTATTTGTTCATCATTTTGTTCTATATACCTACCTACCTACCTACCTATTTTAATTTACCTCTATGTTTCATAGAAAAGTTATTTAAATTTATACCTAAATATGAAATCACAGTCACCAGCAACCGATTGTATTTTTGTTTAATAAAGATTTGCATTCAATGAACGGTTTACTTCTATCTTTCATTCAAAAATGTAAAAATATTCAAAATAAATTCATAGAAATTATTACTCATTTCTTAGAAAATTATTAAATACCTAATCTTTTGGTGCAACCTTAAGTCATTTTTAAATCTCTTGAAAAAACCCGTTTTTTTAATCTAACTTCCGAGGTTTTTTTATTTGTTATAAGAACATATAAGTACGTACTTAATTATAACATATTTTTGGGTAATTGTCCTAAAAAATGTCTTTAGGAATTAATATTTTTCAATTTGCAAGTGAAAGACGAGATTTAGCCTAAGAATAATTATCATCTGATCCGTTTTTAATTTTATGACACCTTTTGTTTAATCGTTTCTCATTAAAATCGTAATTGATCTGGGATAAAAAAAATAAACTGCTTCAACGGTCCATTCGAGGTTCTGATACCGAACAGAACAGAAATATGCTTATACAGTAGTATTCTATTCTAAATACTTCAGTACCTATTCCAGAAAAATTTAGGCAAATTTGAAGCCATATTAGTCAGAAAGTATTAAGACTGCCAATGCAAAGCTTTCAGGAACTGAGGACACTGGCAGACCGAAATAGGGTGTAACTAATTTGGATCCTGTTCAAAAAGAATATGAATAGGAAATAATTGAGCAGACAAAGTCTTGGATCGCAAGAGATAGGGATTCGTACAAACTAGTATAATATACATAGTTGATAATAGTTGGTACTATAAACTCAATCACAGTAGAACAATATTATCCTGCCCTATTAAGTGATTTACAGTCAGACAATAATTATATTTAAATAATGTATTTGTGGCTGACTCACTAAGGACAATTTTTCGTTTTCCTTACAAGAACAGTTGCCTCTACAGCACTGTAATGTATTAATAAATTGAATATTTTTATTAAAAATTAATCAAAACATAGATGTTTTAATGTTTTACTTTTATCTCGAATCTAAACTGAAAACAGTTGAGCTCTTCGTTGAAACGTAGATGTATTTTTTAAATATTAAACAGTATGAATGCATGTTTACATTTTATGTAAGGCATTCGTTAAGAGTCGTTTTATACTACGGTATAAACGTTTTAATAATAAAAAGCTTTCTTTCAATATTCAGAGTTTATTTTCTTTAATTAATTTCTACAAGTAGGTACTGATTAAAGAAAAATAATATATTGTTTGTCCTTTAGAGAATTTTTAATATTTAAAAAGGTTAGGACAGCGTAACTAGAGACTCCTGTGATAAACCCTATATTCAGAATCGTCTGAGCAACTATTCCATTAAAGTGCTTAGAAAGAAGTGCAGTAAAAGTGGGGATATACCGTCACATTCCATAGGCGTACTTTGCAAAATAACTTTCTATAATATACCTATATAAGGTCACGGCATATAAAATGGTATTATACGCACTTCCTAAATTACATTTTGAATGAAACAAGTAACATTATCAGGGACGCATATATGGGGGTAATGGGGGTAATTACCGCCAAGAATTTTTTATAGGTACTAAAACGTACTATTGTCAAAAATAAAGTCTTAAATATTACCCATATTTAAACTTTATTACCACTACCCCTTAATCTCATGGCATTAAAAGTAACACTTCAGTACTTTAATCTCTAAAAGTCCGTCTTTCAAAAATGAATTTTCCGCCTTTTAAACTTGATCAATGCATGTTCTCCAATGTTCTCCATTTATATCTGAAAATGCCTTTAAAAACAAATTTCGCACATTAGGTAAACGAGTTCCTTTTCCTGTTGGAATTTTTAATCCACAAGATACCCCTTCCATAAAGTCTTGTTTTTTAGTTTTGATGGAGGTATCTTACCAAATTTTTTGTTACTGTCTATATGTCCATCATTAAATCTAAATAAAATACCTATTTATGCTGATTCCTTGCGTCCGCTATTTTCCTTAAATAATCATGTTTCCATGCAATGATTTCGTCTTTCGCTGTTAAAAAGCTGTTCTTGTCACATTTTTAATAACGAAAATTTAATTCATGTAATATTTTTTGCAGATAAATATATGATAGGTATATTTGGAAGAGTGGAGTTATTTTCTATTTTTGGGTGTAATTTTTTAGGTCTAGGAATTTAATTTCGAAAGAAAAAATATTGTACCATTTGCCTTATTACATTCTTTACCCAAGTTTCAATAAGTATTGTTTTTTCCTTGGCGCTTTTTCTGATGTGAGACTTCTCCAATAACTGTATCTTCTTAAATAATGTTATACACTGTCTGCTAGGATAGTCCAGTATAGGTCTCATATTTAGTGGCTATTTCATCCACAGAAAGTGAAACAAAGTCATTTCGAAGATTATCAAATACATTAAGTACGATGTTTTCTTCTTCTAAAGTTATGCTTTATGTCAACTAGGTCGTTTACTTGCACTTGTGCTTGTAACATTTTCTAATACATACGATACGGCTATGAAAAAATAAAGTCTGACTTCTCTGTCGAAAGAAAATATTTATTACAGTAAAAACCATGGATTGATTACATCTAAATGAAAACTTTTATTAGGCTGATCAGATGTATTAAAATTTTCATTTTATATCAAATAAGCATCGAAGGATAAGGTATAAATAAAATGTCTATCTTAACACAAAAATTATTCTTCTGTTTTGGTCCCAAATTGTTTAATCTTCTCCTTTTAATAACGAAACAACTAAATTTAAAACTGAAATCAAAAAATTGATCCAAACTAGCCCAGATATGTTTGAAATATTTTTATAAAATTGTATTATTTCTGCTGCCTTTAATATTCCTAGTTGACCTCTGTTAAACTGTAGAAGAGAAAGTTTTAAACCTATCTCACTTTTTGGACCAGTCTCGGTCTAGTATTAGTGAATCATTTTTTTTTGTATATTTTAAACAAGCTTATCGTTTTTTTTTTCTTATGGAAGGCATATATGCTTAGGTAGGAACTTTCCATAGAACAAAGAAAAATTTGAAACTTGTGGTGCTGTGCTGTAATATATTTGATTGAAAGTTGGTATAAATAAAGCTTGCAAATTCTTTGACCCTGTATATTTTTGTTCGGTTTATTTTTAAAATTATCCACCCTACTGTACATTTTTAGAGGATCACCTACTCATTTCCAATATCTTATCAAAAGTTGGATATAAACGCCTTGAAATCAGTCAGCTTATTTATTTTAATCTTTATATTAGAGATAATTCCTTTGACAGTACTTTTTGTAATTGCACTGTGGTCCTATGAACTCAAATTCGATTTCTGTTTCAGCCAACGCTGTTTGCAATTCCAAACTAACTCATAGCCAGCTCTGAATCAATATGTACAGATATTATTTCGAAATTATAAAAAGTTTTAAACAGAAAATAGCGTTTAAACAAATATTATTGGCGATTTTCTGCCTTACGGCGTAATGATTAGACAGTAAAAAATGGTTTTATTAACTTCCTCGCCTCATATTTCATTAAATGATAATAAAAAATATGAGCCGACATCGTACGCAGTTAGTCCGGTCATCATAATCCACATAGGTATAAAAGCCAAGATCCATATATTGCTTAGAAAATGTGGATGGTATGGTAGAGCTTGTTTTATTGAACGACCTTGACTAGAAAGAATGTTGTGAAGCCGGTTAAAAAATTGTCACTGTTGCCACTGCGGAAATAAATTTTAGGCTGCATACCCCTCGCGGGTTTTCTAGGATGACTAGATCATTAAGCCCTTTTATGGCTTTTATGTCCTCTAAAGATACAGTTTTATGGGTAACGATGGCCGAAAAAAAGTGGTTTTCGATCACTGCTTATCTATTTTCTGTTGGATTTTTTTCAGAATAATTGCCACTCAGACGGCCGTCTAGGCATCGTTAGGGATAACTGCCAAAAAAAGATAGATAATTTACCATAAAACT